TTCCCTGAGGATTTATTGGCTCAGAACACAGATTACTTGTCTTGGTATCAGGGATTTCCTTTCTTTTGAACAGGAACATAAAAACACAAAGAAAGCCTAAACTCAAGTAATGTGAAAATATTGAGTTTGATTCCAACCCATACATTCAAAGTTATAGCTCAGTGTCTGACCTTAACTTGAAATGTGATGCCTTGACTCTGCATATGATCATATGGTATATAAAATGTTTGGAAGCCTTTGAAAAAAAAACGGAAATATTCTTGGCTTTGGTTGCACTCCTATTATTATGCTTTCTTTAATGCATTTATAGTTGCCTCAATAGATCTTTACATTTTTCAAGCTTGGGTAGCAAGACTTGTGAAATCTGGGTTGTTGGAGATCTGTTAGAAGTGTGCTGTGCACTTCACACATGATGTGTCTCTAGATGATAGGGTCCCACACAATGAATCCAATCCAGCTTGATCCAAATCTTCCTGAAACCTTTCCTTTTCATTACCGCGAGATGCAGAACCATACTATAAAGCCTGAAACACTGGACTCTTCTTGCTCAAGAGGTCAACAGTAAAGTGCATGAACCTGTGACTTTGCACTGGCCTGAAATTGCCTTCCTTTGGTCCTTTTATATTCAGGGAAAGCAATAAAATTTAATGTGTGCATGCACTTACTGCATTAAAATTAATGGTTTCATTTCCATACTGATTACTGACCATGAGTTGAAATTAATTTAATTCTCCTAGAAGATGTCCAAGTACCCTTACAACTGAATACTGCTTTTTAGAAGTAATAAAAATGCCTCGCAGACAGCAATGAATGACAATTTCATGCTCAACATGCTCAAATGCCCCAGTGATCTAGGATTGTTCAATAGATGCTGACAAGAAGTAATCTCTATGTTCCATTCAACAACTGATTCAAGCTGGAACTAAAAGGAAGAAGTATCAGTCATCTTGAAAGATTTAAATGTAATTCCTTCTAAGGATAGAATAGTTTTTTTTTTTCTGAATGTAATTCCTTCTAAGGATAGAATAGGCTTTTTTCTATTGCTCTGTGTTCATTTTTAATCCCATCAAAAGTCTTCTGTGTGCTTTACGCAGAACTTCATACACTGCTGATTGTACACAAGAAGAGATCTTACCTTCATCTGATGTGTTCAGCAACGCTCTCCCAGGGGCGACTTTTGAGAGTAAGCAGTGTAAACCATGCAATTAATTAGCAATTGGAGCTAGTAGGAGGTGAATGAAAGTGATGAGCTTGCAATCAGACCTAATTAATATGGTCATATCATTAGCAGAATCTGAAAGTTTATGGCTCTGTTTGGGCAGATGCTGGGTGACTCCTGGGAAGAGGAGTCCCTACCTTCAAAGCCTGTTTCCCCCTCAGCATCCTGCGGAGCTATCTTCAAGGATCTGTCATGATCTGAAGGCTGAGATTGGTCCCTTCACAAATATTGGCCAGTGGTTCACTTTGTAATTAGTCTAACTGAAAAGTCTGGGATTCCTCTAAGGCCAGAGTGCCCTTGTATGAATAACACGCAATGACTGTGTGCCCAGGTAAGACTTCAATCGATAGCACAAAGGATCCAAATTAAGGGAGATAATGGGTCAAATATCCTTGTGCTGTAATTTCACGGGGACCCAATGGGCTCTGAAATCAAAACTAGTCCCACCGAATGCCATCTAAACTGGCAGATCTAGTCAAAAGTTGGCTAGGTGCCATTTTTACAGCTAATCATAACGGACAGGTAAAGTATGATCACACTGTGTTTACATGTGAAATGTGTTTATCCCGCTTTCAGCAGTTCTAATGTAGCATTTATCTTTCTTCAATTTTGCATTTGTTATATAAACACTCATAAGAGTTGAGGGAAGCTGCAAAAGACAAGTTGCATATCAGACGCCTCAGAAACCTCAAGAAAATAGGGCAAAAATAGGGGAGAAGATCCTCTTCCTCATGTATCTTCTGGCTAACATGTTCACAGGCAGATATGCAGCCTACATCCTTAGCAATCAACATTTAGCACACTTAGCAATTTTAGTTATCAACATCTGGAAAGCTGCAGAACCAAGCTCAGGATTTGGATTACAGCTTTTCTTTTCTTTTTTTTTTTTTTTTTTCACAAGGTGTGCAATTGTCCTGGGCAAAAAAAGCCTTTAAGCCTCCTAAGGAGCTTTAGAGTATGCAATTACTTTAAAGGACAACTATTTAAAGGACACTGAAAGCCTCACAGAATTTACAGGCTACAGGGCAACAACTTCTGGCTCTAGCTACCAATCTGAAACCAGTGACAACAGTTTGTCTCACTGGGAAAAAAAATACCCTGAAGGATGTTCCAATCCCACACATAGTTCAGCAGCAGGAGGTCTCTGGATGGAAGAGAAGATGTATTTTTCTTTAGCTTCTCCTATTAGCTACCTGTTGGGAAGAAAAAAAAAAGAGAGAGTTTTTTTCCTAATTTTCTCCTTCAATATGAGCTCCACAGCGGTGCTGGAGAACAGAAGAGTCTTTCTATTAGACGTGAATCACCAAATCACCATATGTGAGGAAGGCAGCATTGTGGCTTGGACCCAGGGGGAGGAAGCCCCAGAAGTTATTTTGCAGGCTGTTTTCATATGAAAAAGATTCAAAAAGATGCCGCTGAGCAGCTAATGCCCTGTTTACTTTCCTGTTTTTGTTTTAGCCCAAACTCTTACGCAAAAGGAGACTCCAACACACTCATCCAGGGTTTCTTGCCCAAGGCTGTCAACCTAGCAATTTCATCTATCAGTTATACCAAACCACAGCACACTTTTCTAAGCTTAGCTTGTTATTGTCTTCCAGGCTGCAGAATAACCCAGGGCAATGGAACAGTTACTGGCACTATAAATGCTTTCAGACATTGAAGCTAGTAACATGCAACCTTATTTGAATTAAATTACCTCTTTAAGAGAGTCTGAAACCGGATGACTTCATATAATTCATTATGTTTAAGGCGGCAGTTTAGTGTGGCATGTTAAAACCCATTAAATTGCTCTGTAGTTTTCTTGGCTGTGGTTGTTTTTTTTAAGAGAAAGTAATTAAACATAAATATTTACAAATATCCCGGCTGTGAAACTCTATAGCCAATAACAAGAACAAGGAGAACCGACCCTGCGCTGGCTTCCTATATTAACATCCTACTCTGGCTAAAACATTCTTGCTTTCAGCAAACAGGGCCAGCTGATGTGGAGCTCTAATGGGGAATTCAGAAGCTGTGCAGTTGAATTTATTTAAACCAGAGGAGGAAACCACTTCTCAGATGTGATTTCGTGTTTTTATATGCAGGATTAACGTGATGGGCCATAAGACGCTACAAGTAAATTGGCTTTTCCCCTAGTGATCCTGCCTAAAGCCATGCTCCAAAACTCTGTTGGTATCAATGGAAAGAGTCCCACTGAGTTCAATGGGCTTTGCATGAGAACTGTACTTTCGAAAGCACTTTAAATGAGCAAAAGATGAGCCCAGCTGCAGAAGTCCTCTCTTTTTCTTGCTCTGAACCACCCCTTCTTGCTTCTGCTCATCTGTCTCCTTGAAGCCAGCATGAAAAGTTAGCTAGAAGTCATCTGTTACCGTAAAGCCAGAGCTGCCCTTTGCCAAGCTCTGCTAAGCTGATGGGTGTCAGAACCCAGTAGAGGCCATCAGCTGCAAACGTTAGTCTAAATAGTGCAAACTGCCCAATAGGTATGTTCTGGAAAGCCTTGTCAGGAGACCCAGACAGACCCGCAAGCCCAGTGAGCTCCTGTGTGCTCATATGTTGGTGGAAGCCCCTTCAGATCTGGTGTTCAGGGGTGGGTATACTGGATTTAGCCTTGATAAAGTACTCTGCACTCTTTCTTCATACTCCATTTGGAATGAAGTGGCCTCCTTGCTGTATTCTTAGAACTGAGGTCTGAAAGTTCACAGAGACAGCATAACAATATTATCATGTTGCGATATTCACTAAGCTCAGCTATGGCCAGATTTTGCCATTCCTACATATGGTGGGTCTAGTTCATGCTTCCCCAGCATCCCATCAGGGCATGCTAATAGAAGACCTAAACCCTTCTACACCAGCAGCAAAATAAGACTCTCACGATATGAACACTCGGCCCAGGGGCGCTGCTCCCAGCGTGAGGAGCTGGACACTGTGGAAACCTCCACCCGTGCTTGGGGCCGGCCCCTGCCTGCCCTCGGCTCAGCCTCCCACGAGCAGTTTGAGCGTCTGAGGGCGCTCGGGCCTTACCACGATGGGGCTACGCAGATGGCGCCGATTCCAACGCCAAGGCGAGCGCTGAGCCCTGCACCTGTTTAGAGAAGGAGGAGTGCTGCTTTTTGGCCTTTGTATTTCCCAGTGCTCCTTCCACTCAGAACTGAAGGCTTGCCACAGACAAAGCGCTCAGGGAGAGGGCAGGGAAGAAGGTTAGAACAAGAATAATTCATCTTTAGAGGAGTTTTTGTTGTTTTTGTTCTGTGAAACATCCGCCACCTCGGTCAAAGTCCCCTTTCCTGAGAGGGGATGCAGCATGAGCAAAGATACTGTAGTCTTTCCCCATCAATCCCTCGGGAAAAAATAATAATAATAAAAATAAATGAAATGAAAAGCACAGCTAGGGTCTGATGCATCTCTGGACCAACACAGATTCTTTGCATTTGCTGCCAGCCAGCATAAGAGTCCACGCAAAGCACGCTGCTGGCATACATGACAAGCATTTCAGAATCTGTTAATTCCTAAACTTTTTGCCAAGAATGACCTTGTTAGAAGCTGCTTTGGTCAGAAAGATGAAATACTAAGCTGCCTGCCTTCACAATAGCTCATAAGAGAGGTCTGTGTTACTGAAACTCAGCCTTTTCCTTTGGAATTAGCTGGCTGGATCATTTCAGTCTTTGGGGGGTATAAAGTGCAAAGAAGCTGCCAGAATGATTAAAAATTGAGCTGCGCATGTGGCTGGGAAGCAAGCTGTGTGTTCTGCTCGAATAAATGAACCCATGAGAGCTTCCCACTCTACCTTGACAGGCAGCCAGCTGCCTCTCCGGCCCGGCCCCGGGCCTTCCTCCACCTCGGGCTCCTCACCGCGCTTGCGCTGAAACGCTATATTGGCCAACGCGTAGTTTAACTCAGGGCTCTCCATCTCCTCGGCAGCTGTAGCGAGGGCTAATTTTTCTGCCAATAAGTATTGACGATAAAAGGAGAAATCTGACTTTTGCTAACTCCGCTGCGGTATAGGGGGAAAAGATGCTGCTAAAGCTGCATTTATTGAATGAGCAAGCCCTTACCTAGTTTATGCATTGGTCAGCCAGAGTGGCCCTCAGCCATTTTACCTTAGGCTGCAATTTTTGTCAGATTCTGTAGAGTTCGATCAAATTAATATCTGAAAGGAAAACAGCCAACAAAAAGCCAGGGCTGAAGGCAATAACTCCATAGATGGCATATTTCTGTCTGGGTTATGAGTAAGCTAATACCCGAATTAGGTCCGGTATTTTGCCTTCGAGTCTGGAGCGCAGCTTTCCATGGTGTGTGGAGCAGGCGGCCCCTTTGGACACTAGTCCCATGCCTCGTTGCATGCAAAGGGTTGGGACGTTCCTCGACAGAGCAAAGACACAAACTCCGCTAACTCTGGAAAGACTGTCATGTAATCACAGCAATTTGCCTATATCACAGGCAAATTCAGCTCCTGGCCCTGCCTAAAAGCGCCAGTTTTACTGGGTTCTGTATGTTTTGTTGCCAAAAGGGTCTAACCGCCTCTTGCTAGTTGCTTCAGCAACTCTGACACCAGCGAAGCCGATCATTCCTGCACCCTCAGGGGTGCTTGCACAGATCCGTCCTTTTCCCACGTTTTAATGGCCATGGGTATTTCTGGTTCAGTTTTGCTGGGTTCACAATTGCTATGTGCACGCTACCTCCCTGTCCGCTGGGCGCATTTCAGCTCAGCCGAGCAAACCAAAAAGAAGGGCTGAAAGGAGAGAAGTTGATTTCCATTGCATTTAATTGGGACTTTGCTTCCAACCTGTGTGGCAGTAATAGGCTTAGAGCCCTATTTGTACAGTAATGCTTGATTTCCTTGTTTCTCCCCTTCTTTGCTCCTCTTAGCACGGTAGCACATTATTGTTTTGAACCGCGGATCTTTGCTGCGGTCTCTTGTTTCCCACAAGTTGCATTGCTGGGATGTTTACTTCCTGGATTTAATTCTAATTTAGCTACTACACTAATCCTTAAATAAATCTTTTTCAGTTCAGCTCTTTCCCTTAACCCTATACACCAATGTTTGCATGAATTTAAATAGGCAGGATATTAGATTAAAGTTAATTGATGGAGTCAACATACTAATCCAGTTTCTACAGGTTTACACCCCTGAAGAAAATACTAAGAGCAGCCATACAAATTACCCTTTCTCATGGTCACAGTGCGGGAGAATGAGCTTGGAGAGTGGCCCGCTTCTAGGTTTTGAACACCCCACTCATTTGTGGCGCATGTTTCTCAAATCATCAAATCCAAGATAATACAAGACACGTGCAACTAAGCTCAGTTCTCTCTTTCCCACTTCAGTTGACGGTTCAAGAAAGTTGTCTGAACAGTTTGAGAAGCTACAGGCTTCCATGAAACCAAAGACAACATACTGTCAAAGCATAATGATTCATACACCATTTCCAAACAGTACAACTATTTTTTAAAGTGATGTATTTTGAATGGTGCATTTTTTAAAGAGGCAAGACTGATTTTTTAAAACACAGTTAATCTAGAAGTCTAATTACTGATTCACGATCTATTTACACAAATAATTGTCACTACAGATTTACACTTCTAATTATGTTTAAGTGTAATATATAGTATATAGGCCTCTGAAAGCCCGTGCAGTAAATTGTGTAAATGATCAGATCTGTATCAGATTTTATATTAAAAAAAAGTCTTAAAGAAAAAAACTTTAAAAATTTTGGTCCACAGCAGTTAAAGACACATTGCATCTTAAATGAGGTTTCTCCATCCCCTCTGTGTGCTGCAAGTACTTGTTACCTTCTTACAGGTGAGGGATTGAAATGCTACAGCTGTGACATATTCCTGTTGGTGGCTATTTTCTGTGATTGAATATTGGCACTGAGATGGCACCTTGGAGTCAAAGTTTCCTTGTGTGGTGTTTTGCACAGAATTAAAAGAATACAGCTTGTGGCTGTTTGTTACTGCAGCTGTACCTTTTGTTGCCCTCTTTAAAAGCCTTAGCAGAAATGCTTAGAATTGGAGAGGCAGCACTATTACACTCAAAATAAACATAGTTAATTCTACCCTGAAAATCAATGCCTGTGAAATTTCTCCTTTCTAAGAAAAAAAGAAAAAAAAATACTTTTGTCTCCTTCAGTCTGGAGCATTTCTTGGCTCCTAGACCACTCTCCTTTTAAGTTACAAACTTATACTCCTCTTCCATGTTTGCTTGTAAAAAGTCGCATGCTGACTTACACCAATTAATAACATGACCCAGGGTGGTGAAATAATACATATATGTATATATATATATATATCAGCACAGAATGGCAGTAAATCAATTCTGAACTCCTAGTATCAATCCTCACACACATATTTAGGTAATAAATTCAGTCACTGTACTAGGTTGAATTTTCTTGTTAAATCCTGAATGCTCTGGGGCAGAAGTTGTAGCTTTTCCCTGCCAGGTAGGTGTTTACGAGCCTGGTAGCACCAGAAGCGTTTCTGGAGCCCACAAACATAATTTAGCTGCAGTAATGTGAAATTACTGACTCTGCCTCGTGCCGACATGTGTTACATGCAATTGTAAAAAGGAAAAAAAAAAGTTTAACAGCTTAGCCACAAAGGAATGTTTATATCTGATTACACTAACTGCTAATTTAATGGTAGTTAATCAGTGGCATGCAATACAAGCCAAGCAGCGCAACAGATTTATTGATTAACGGCATTCTGAGCAGTTGTCGTCAAAAAAAAAAAAGGGGGAAAAAAATGAGTGCATTTGTTTCATTAAGCAAGCACGTAAGGAGCCCTGTGAAACAGTAGCATGTTTGCTGAGGGCAAATTTCTGCTTCAGCTACAGCAGTTCAAAATCTGAGTTATTCCAAGTTTCCTTTGAGCCAGTAGGCCAGCGTAGGAGCTACATGCCCCAGTCCTGCAGGAGATGCTCTGCAGGTGTTGGGACACGCTCCAGGTTTCCGTGGACAGACAGGCATCCTGGATGCACGCTCTTCACCACCTAAAATTCCACCCATCCAGCCATGTACCACAGGGCTGGTTTTTCTTCAGACGAAACATGAGCCTGCAAAGCAGCGGCGGAAACAGATTCTCGCCGAGTGCATCCCTGCCCAAGGAAGAGAAAGCTGAGGAAAGCTTTCCTGGAAGATGAGCCTGAGCCCCCTTGCTCACAGGGTGTCCCTGAGGGGCCCTTGAGGGACCGCAGCTCCCCGGGAGCGCTGCGGTGCCCGCTCTCTGGCCCCAGCTCCTCGCTCGGCATCGCTGTGGTCACCGCGTGCTTTCCCCCTGGGAAGAGGCCAGCTGCCAAGAGAGAGGCATCTGTAAAGGAGCAAAAAAGCTTAAGATGCTGTCAGCTATTTATTAACGCGAGACAGTTTACTGGATGCTGCCAAAATTTAAGAGCTTCTGTTTCTGAGAGCTTCGGTTCCGGCTTGTGTAACTGTCAGGAGCGCGCCCACACTAGCTGTTTCATGAATAATTTATCATTTAGCTGGAAGACGACGAAGACCCACGACGGTGGGTTTCAGCCCAGCAGCAATGGCCACAAGCTAAGGCAAAGGAAAAAAATACCACACTAGGACAGACCTACCAAGCGAGGTGCCTTGTGACCATCTAAAAGCCAGACACTGCTTCGCACCCATCCTACTGAGGTTAGCACAGAGAGAGCAGCGCAACTGCCGTGGCAGGGACGTCTTGCTCGGGAGCTGGTACGAGCGAGCAGCGCTCTGAACCTCCTCCCTGCCGGGAAGCCCCTCACACACACCGGGCTTCTGCTTCCTGAGGAAAGCACTCACTAAACAAGCTGCTTTCCTGAATAAAAGCCGTCGTTAACGCTGTAACACTTGTTTGATCCATGGTGCAGGTAGGGAAAAATCACATTTGAAAACAGCAAGCGAGTCAGGGAGCACAAGGGAATTGGACCTGCCAGCCAAGGACGTGTCCAGATCACCATCCCTCAGCAGCAGCACTGGGCACACGGGGCCACTCTCGGAGCTGACAGGAAGGACGCGCACAACCTCACAGAAAGGGTCACCTCAGACACGTGGCATCCGCACAAGGACAGGGAGAGGTGGGACGGGAGCACCCTGGCTTCCCTCCAGTCGCTGACAGGTCCAGGGCCACCGCAGGCGCCTCATCCAGGCCTCCCTGCAGGCAGCGGTCACACGAGCCGCTGCAGGGGGCAGCGGGGACTTTTCACCCATCTCCGTGTTGGGTGGGAAGAGCCACCTCAGAGGCCGCCTCTCCTCCCCGCGAGGTGCGACGGGAGCGTAGCCCACGCGCCTCAGCGGGGCACGTTCATTCCGCTGCCGAGCGGTAGGTGAAATAATCCCCTTTTGGATGGGTTTGGCTCGGCCTTCCTCGCTTTCTCCTCGGGCTCTTCCCCGAGGAGCACAGCTGGGAAGGCGCAGAGGCAGCTGCCGGCCCCGCAGCCAAGAGGAAGTACAATATGTCGAGTTAAAAACCAAACGCAAACAAAAGTGCTGGGGTGCGAGGAAAGCGTGCAGATCTGAGGACTCAAACACCAAGATTGCATTTTGCAGCAACAGGGAGAGGCTCCTGACCTCCCAGGCTTCACGTGCACTCAGCAGAGGGTTAAACCCCCATGCAGCACTTGGTGAGTCAGGAAGGGGCACGCCAACAGTGACCTCAGTTTTGGGAAAATTCCCAGGAGGTTCTGGACAGCAACAGGAAAGAAATGCACCTTCCCCTACAGCCTTACAGGAACAGTCCAATTCATTGCCGAGCAGGCTTGATAGTTCGCCCTCTACTTTCTAGTAGAATTGCAATCTTCAGCAGTGCTGTGAAGGATCTGGATAGCCTTGCTCATCTGGGCTGTGAGACCGAGCTCCTGCACACCATACATAGCTTGGCCATGTGGACCTACCAAGTCATTATGAGAAGAAGCACTGGAATAAGATTAAA